AGCGTCTTCACTTTCCTTGAAATCTGGGCTCAGAACTTTTCTTTCCGAATGAAGGCATTCCTGCTCGTAAATCCTTCTCGTAATATATGGTGACGCAATTCGTAATGTTGCATACTTCGTTCGGTAAATCACTCTCACCGCCATTCGGTTTAGCCATCTTGCCCAAAACAGGGCAAGCGCTCTGGAAAAGGTCAAAAGACTAGAAAAACTAGAAAGGATCGGGGGCCAAGATTGCAGACGCAAGTGTCGAAAATGTTGGAAATGGACAGATGTCATTGATGTCAGAGGTCAACACAAATTATTGCAATAGGATTCAAAGACCTCATACAGTCTCATGATACTAACTTAGTCAAGCGATAATGGATACGTTTGACAGAACCTGATAGGGTACAGAGCTATTGCTATTCATTACCTGAAACCTGGCACAGCTATAAGCACAAAAGGTTCGTTTCTGCCAGCTTGTGGTTTTTGCGCTTGTCAATAACAATTTATGTGGTCATGTAAGAATTCAAATCCCGTATCCCGCTCTGTTCCCCTTGCGAATCCCGCATCCCAACCGCATAAAATCACGAAATCCCGCTCCCGCTCGCAATTGTTATTCCCGCTTCCCGCCCCTGTTTTCTGCTCAAATCCCAAATATCACCGCGAAAAAAAGCCAAATCCCGCATTCCGCCAAACCTATTAGGAACCCTCTGTAATCGACCCACGTATGGTCTTGTGGAAACCAGTTGGAGGAGAGGGTGACCTCTTGACAGCTTCCAGCTTTAGTCAAGACGTAGCCATTTCTGTAGCAGTTTCGCAGTTCAATTTGTGGGCATCCCTGGAGGAAACAATTAATGATCTCTAAATGTCTTTTAATGTGATTATAATAAGCCCTGAAAGTAGCAGTTCTTTCAGTCTTCCATTGCCAGTCAGAAGTTCTGTCACACATAACATTGGTTTGTCGAACTTTTAATTTTAATGTTAAAAAATAGCATGAATAAGACTGGTTATCATAATATGCGTCCAGTGGCTAAAGCAGCAAGTGTTCTTGAGTTCTTAGGCCACGTAAACCTTGCCACACGACGGACGAAAAATAGCGCTGTTTCTATTCTTTGACACTGATGTAATAATAAAGTAATATGAAAATAAAATCTTGAATTATCCACGGAATCCATACCACAGAACATTACAGTGTTCCCTCACAGGGCCGTGTAGATCCAATAATCTAAATTCTTCTCAAATTATACAATAAGCTAACTAGCTAATTTATAATATAATATAATATAATATATTATAATGTAATGTAATGTAATATAACATAATATAATATAATGTAATATAATTATTAATTATCCATTAATTTAATGATTTGCCTTGCCTCCGGCTCGAATAGCTCGTCAATACTACTTTCGGCAACAGGCATACTGATAGTTGTGTTGAGCATTATTTGCAGTGTAAATAAAGTTCTCGTTGTCGTTGTTGTACTAGAGATACTACACGGGAATCTGTACTTGGGGCCAAAAGAAGGACGTCTTCATAATCGAATGCTACTTAGAACTTAACAAGTCGAGTAATTGCGAGATTTAGCTGAAATCACGGTTAGAACTACTAGCCAAGATCACAACAGCATCTTGCCCTTCATCTTCGTGACAGTCTCTAGAATTAATCAGACAGCTGGAAAAATTACATCACTCGCAAAAACCGAGGCGTAACAACAAAGTCCCGCTGTTACGCTGAAGGTGTCTACCCACAGTCTACCGACTCTCAGGAATTGTTTAAGCACTGTTACTACTCTGTTGCTATGGATATAATTCACTCGGAGGTGGGGTACAGTGGGACATTTTCTTCTCCAGGAGATGATACTGCTGGGTTTGTTGAGTCTGGAGTATAACCCACTGGTGGGGGTGGATCCGGGTCGGGGTTTCCTGCCGGTAGAAGCAAATCCTGAACCTCTCCAGGCTGTGCGGTACGAGATGCTGAAGTTGTAACTGTCGACATTGGAATTCCAACACCTGCTTCAGTGTTGCGCGCCTTCTTTCGATTTGCGCGACAAAAACCAATGCAAGCCACTACAATCACCAAGAATATCACACCGCAAACGGTGCCAAGAATTATCGCCAAAACATCTAAAGACAAAATGGAACACACAACCACATTAGTAGAAGAACTCACTTTAAATTGAAACGTACACAGTCAATAAAAAAGTCTGAACATACAGAGATGACTGGGGTACACAAAACACTCGATATTGCAGTTTCTTCTTAGTTATCGTGGACTTGAACTTTAAATAAAACCGAGTCACACTTTTTCATTCTGATAAAGAGACTAGTCTAGAACGATGGCGGATTTTATCCCATACCGTAACTATTTCATTAAGCGAGGGTAACGTAAGATCACGCTTAATACCCAGGAAGAAGCAAGTGGCCGAGAATGTTGGAGAAGGACTGAGATATGATTTTGGTTGATAGAGTTAGCTTTGTAGCGAGGTGATGACAATAGAGCTAGGAACAGGCTAGAGTGGAAGAACTTTGTTCGCACCCTAAACGAAACTTTGGCGCAAAAAGGATGGATGATGCTGATCAAGGAATTTTGGCCCGCCAACTACCAAACTTTTGAGTCCTTTAATTGCAGTTGCTGAGTTTATTTGAAATGACGATGGGAACGAGAATTTGGAAGGATACAGTCTTTTTTTTTTTAGATTTAAGACTATTATTTTTGTGGCCCAGGCTGAATATCCTGATTTTTCTGCCGATTTTAGTCTGATATATTTTTGTAAACATTCTTAGCCTAAGTTATAGCGTATGACATTTCCCGTTTTATTGACTTTGATGGCGTTGAAGTAATTTTGGAGTTATAGACTGCAGGAAGCAAAGCCTGATACGACGTACCGAAACACATAACTACTTGCAGAAAAGCTGGTAAGCATCGACCATACGGCCAGTGCTGCCTTTTTTTTTTTAGTGAGTTTAGAGGAAGAAAGAATTTTATACGGTTTAGTTAAAAGAAGTTAATTGTAGTGCATTTACAAATTTTAAAAAATCTCAGTCTAGGGTTTATTCTTAAAATATTCTTATAATTTCTCAAATTTCAGCCTCGTTTTACTTATAAAATATATTCTTTTATAATAAAGTTTCCAAGTAACGCGCGCTCTGATTGGCTGAAACAGCGTGCTTTATCAGAGAACAGATGCACGATAAGCCGAATCTCAAATTTCTGCTTCGGAATTTTGACAAATTTGACCCAAATTAATCCTCACCCTTGTGACTCAGACAAACGCAATGGAAACGAGCTATTTGTCTGCAGTAAACATGACTGCATGGAGGTCATTGTTAACAACAGTAGTGTTGAGACTGTACTTAAATAACAAGTTTTGCTAAATTCCGACAAAACGGTTATCACGTTGCGAAATAAACAAATTCTCAACCTACGGCGAATGCTTCGATAAAACACATTATATTTGTTACGAAGGCAGAAATTATACTATAGAAGTAAAACAACGACAGAAACACCAATTGAGCTGTCTCTGTTTATGATGAGAAGCTTAATGTTAGTAAAAATTGCTCAAATAACACTTGCATGCATGGAGTGTAGTAATGCTCGTTCCCTAAATAGCGATCTCCGGTCATCTCAGAGAAGTGAAGTTCGACAGTTACAACGCTCACCCGATGTGTGATCAGTTGAAAGCTTGTTCTGATATTAATATTCTCTCCTGTACTTGGAGTAAAACCAGTGGGAGCAGCTTAGTCTTTCCAACTTTGACGGTAGTTCGGGCAATCTTGCTGCAAGCCGTAAATAACTGTAGCTCTTTTCAAATATAGCTCAGCATCTCGCATTTTTATCGGCAAGCTTTGAGCTCCTTGTTTCGTAATTTCCTTTGGAAAAATGCCCGTTTTCATGAGTTACAATGCGGCCGGATTCCACTGGATTAGAAACTTTTAGATCGATCCATATTTATAAATTAAACTAAAAAGCGAACATCGAAGCGATCGTTCTTCTCTCGAAAGCCACTCGGAATTGAAAGCTTAGCTGAAGTCCAGTTGTCATTGACAGCTGTCGCTTCGTGAGCAGTCAAATTTTTTGAGCAATTCTAACAAGAACTGTGATTGGCTCATTTTAGCGTGCTTTATCAGAGAACGGATGCACGCTGAGGCCACTTTTCCTCGTTTGGACAATAAAGTTTTGGTTGAAAATATTAGCGGAATGTGAGGGGAAATTAATGGATTCTTTATCATAAAACAAATAAAGAAGCCTCGACTGTGCTCAGCACTTAGGAAGCGGTAGAGCACTCAAGAAGTAGAGAGAAACACTCGACTACGTCACGTGTTCCCTCTCACACTTCTTTCGTGCACTACCGCTTCCTCCCGTACTTTACAACAGAACAGAGCACAGTCGAGGCTCCATTATTTCTTTTTTAAATATACATAAAAAAAAGAGTGTAACGTTTTGAAACGCGCATAATCTAGGACTGTGCCGAGAACAAATTCAGTCCAAACGTCCAAACCTTATAATTCGATGCTTTTGCCTTTCTTTTCATTGGCCGAGAGCCCAGCATGTGGCATGCAAGTAACTGCCTATAAATAAAGGTCTGCTCACGCGGAGTACCGTCTAATTGTGTTTTCCGGTAAATAATATTCATTTTATGCGTAATTGTAACCACGCTCTTGTGTGAGAAATGGCTGATAGCTTCCGCGAGCGGTCAGAGAGTAATTTAAATATTAAAACAAACTTCGTGATAGAATGATAGAACAATTACTGAACTCGGTTAGAGCAAAATATCGTGATTTTACTGCGTCTCGCAGATCAATTATTTGCCCCAGCCTTCAACTTCGGCAAGTAACTGATCTGCTCGCCACTGGCACATCACGATGTTTCCCTCAACCTCGTCCAATCATTGTTAATTATCTAGGCTTGGAAGCGTTATTTCATACTGGGAATGATATGGTATCATTCCTACTTTTTAACACTCTTAACTTACTTCGTTTATTCACAGCATTGAATGTGGCTTTAAAACCCGGGTATTGTGCCCGGTATTCAGTATTCGATGTGAAACGAACCCGCATGTACCGACCGCTTGACTTCAAAGGCTCTGGAACTATATCATCACAGTAAGTTCCTAACGGCTCACCGTTGTACTTCCCATCAAAAACCTGAAGAGAATTGTAGAAGCATTCCAACGATGGGTGTTTAGGAGGCAATCTAAATCTGTCAAAGCTGAGTTCCACAATTTTCCCCTCTGGTACAGTGATAAGCCATTCACACTTAAGCCCTGGGATGTGGTATTCCACTGGGCTATGTAGAGTTCCGTGTGAGCCAGTTAGCTTCAGGTTTAGATTGTTGTCGTTTCGTGGGAGACACAACTCCTCATCGAAAACTGAAACAAGAACAAGAGAATAATATTCTTAACCTAGCCAGATCATCTGGCTAAGCAAGGAGAAAATGTACGAGATTTGCGTGCATCCTTAATTCGAGACCGGACGTTTAGCTTTACGACTAGAACATCGATAGATGACTGAGCTGGAATGGACTGAATTGAAAGCTGCAACTAGACATACTATACCATACAACTCGCTACACCTGCCAGGTAACAGTTTTTGATCTCACGCCCAGTTACACCGTGGGACCAGTTTTTCACAACTAACAGTAAAAAAAATTGAGTTATTATAACTAAGTTGACACCGCAAGTCACTAAAAATTGCCATGACGAATTAGATGTCTTCCACAGGGCTACAGTACTCAACAAGGACACACTGACTCTGACTGGCGAAAAAATATGTAAACTTCAACCATGCATGTAAGAAGCATAGTTAATGAGGGGAAAGCATAGTTAATAAAGGGAATGGAACCCAAAAAGGTTCTTTGTTAATGTTCACTTTTCTAGCCGTGACCATGCATAAAACACAATAGTTACTGAGGAACTGACCAATAGAAATGTTTCGGTTACGTAATTCATGTGGAGTGTTTGAGCGCAAAACAAGACTGTACACAAATGTGGACCTTTCAATATAAATCTTGGCATCTTTCTATGCTCCTTTGATGTTTGCCGGGCTTCGTAACCAGACCCCTCTATTAAGTATGGCAGAGGAGAATCACTCAGGTAAATCACGCCCTCCAAATTAGGAGGGCCTGGATGGGAGGCTGAAATCTGCTAAATTTTCGATGATTTTGCGGCTCTCAGTTCAGTTTTAAGTCCATTTCTCAACTATCAGTAAATTTTGCAGATCTCAGATTTCAACTATCAGTTAAGAACGGTATCCTTCTTAGACTACGAGTACACCCTCTTTCGCTTTGTCCGTCTTGAGTGCAGCGAAGTTTCCTCGCGGAGCCATTTTCTCCTCGAGGTTTTCTTACGGCCACGCTCAACAGACTAAGCAAAAGAGCGACAACTCGCAGTCTACATCCTTCCAAGAGACCATGATCTAGATCATAAGCTCTAGATCCTCTCAACTACCTGTTCGATTCCATATTTAACCAATTCAAAACTGTCAGCTAATAAAACCCTATCCAGACCCTCTTGGAAGGGAACTTGCTTGTCTTTGGGGGACTGGGACTTGGAAATGTTAAGCACATCTTTCTTCAGAACGTTCTCGAAAATCTTCGGATATGATCAGGTCATCCTCGAAAATGTTCACTTTCCCGTGTTAAAAAAGGAACTAAATACGTAACACGTACTGCGCAGATACCTGACAAGTCGACAGCTTCAAAATGTGCTTTGAAACCTCTTTTTCCTCGCACGCCAACGGGGACGGCACTAAACGTAACATACATGGTACCGTCGGTAGAATAAACCTCAGAGGCCGTCTGGTTTTCACAATAAATGCCGCCATGGAATGGCCGAAAACCATCACCTATTTCAACATGGTCCATATACGTATAATTCGTCATGCAATTATCGTTAACATCATTTCTGGAACTTCCTCTAAGTTCGATATCTGCAAACGTTAACTTGATTTCTTTATCACCAGGAGCGATGAGTCTCCAGACACATGATGCATCATCTGGATAAGGGACAGGATAATCGGGGGAGAAAATTGTTCCAGAATATTTGCCGAACACCGCCTCCATGTCAATAAAATTGTTATATGGGTAACGACATATCCCAGCGGCTTCCTCTACAAGTAAGTAAGAAAAACAACAGTAATATTATTATGAGTTTTTACAACGCGCTTTAGACAAATTTGTCAGTTTTAGTTGTAAGTGGAATATGTTCACATAAATAAAGTCATTTCAGTTCTTCTTGTTAAGACCCGTCTTTTAACCCTCGGACGTACAAGCTAACTCATACCCCCACCGTGGTGTACAAGAGGGGGGGGGGGTTGTGGGTGTGGACGGAACCAGAGCAAAATAAATTTACATTGCCCCCAGCTTGCTCTAAGAGATGATACCATTTTTGGTGGTTATGACGTCATATGACGTCATTTGACCCGCCATCTTGGATTCGCCGTCTTAGCATTCGCTATTTTAGACTATTTTTTTTCTTTCTATTTTCTTCTCTTTCTTTTCTTTCAAGGAATAAAGGAAATTGACACAAAATCAAGCCAGAGTGCACAAATTAATCCATTCAGTGACTGGAAGAGGGATTTGAACCCAGGACCTCCGGATTACAAATCCAGAGCGCAGCCTTAGCCACTTGGCCACGCCGCCTCCTAACGCCCCCTCGGTACATACTGTTAAGACTTCGGGCTGATATTCCAACAGTACGTTCGGTCGGGTAATTAAGATACATCTCATTTTATTTGTCGTAAATTAAAGTTTCCTACCCAAGAGCAAACAGAATGACAACGAACGGGTTTTTTGTACCGAAATTCATGTTTCTACTGCGCCAGAATCGTTAGCAAAAATATATTGAGCGAGAATATGGTTTTAATGTACGCGTGATTACTCAGTACCTGCTTTAACCACCGAAACACTAATGTTGAACCCTCTGAAAGTCATCTCGCTGTCTGTGTGGAACTTGACTGACAAGTTATTTCCCGTGGAATAAATAACTTCAGGGTGGACTGTACCACAGAATGATCCAAGAAAGAGAGACGATTCCGAATGTCCATCATAAAATGTTAGGTTATCAAATGGGCAGCGAGTCAATGAAAGGGCTTGATCTTGTTGCAACTCAAAGTCATTGAATAATACCTTTAGTACGTAACCACCGAGCGGATAGTTGAGTTTGTTTTCAATTTCAACCTGCCATGTGCATTCCATGTTGTTAGAATAACCCAGGGGATAATTGGGACTTGTAATAGTTGTGTTGTAAGATCCTGATGCAGTAACCAGCCATGAGTCGTTCCCGGTCGAACAATCTATCATTGAGAAAAAAAAAAAATAAACGTATTTACCCTTGTAAGAGCCTGCACAGTGGCCCACCAAGTTTATCCCTTGCAGGGCTTCACACATGGGGCATTTCATTGCACGGAAAGAAGAAATATCTCTACTTGATCTATGTATGAATGCAAAAAATAAAGATATATAATGTAGAATGTAACAACATGAAATTAAGTCGCTTACTCTGAGCAAATGTTATTTGTCCTGCCAAAGCCACCAACACCAGACCTATAAGATAAGAACAAATGCAGACTCACGTTGCATAGAGGGTCACTTAGGGACATTTTAAATTATTAAGTCTAACGTGTACAAATTTAGATGTTGCCTTCTGCCTCATGTGTCAAAACGTGCGAGTCTTCTTGATCTCGTAAAAATACACAAATCAAATGAAACTAGTGTGGTTTTCAATTGAGTTTCGAAAACCAAATCCAAGCCTATTCCTCACCAATTAGACTGCTCAGCCAATCTCAAACCGTAGTAAAATCAAAACCAAAACCAAAACCAAAACAAAAGTGATTTCTTTCGGCACTCAATTGAAAACGTGCCGCTCTAAAATTCGTTTATGGAGCGCCATATTCCATTAATTGTCCATGGCACTCTATGTTCACCTGTGCGTTCACTTTCACGCAAGTCAAACGCGTGTTCATTTAAAAAGATTTATACAAGGACCATTTGCGAAACAGACACAAAAAGGTTTAATTCGGAAATGACCTAGTTGTAGCCTTAAGATCTTTCGTATCACTTAAATTTTGGGGCTCAACAACTAATTAGAGTCTCGCTCGATCGTACCCTTGATCCTTAAAATTGATCGGCTAATTACGCCGGCGAGATTCACCGAGGCATACAGTGTAGGCAATTATTTTGTGCCAAGACGAACGAAACCATGTACCTTTGCGCTCAAAAATATCAATGATTGTTTACAATTGTTGTAAACGTTAAGCAAACATCAGCAGTGAAAGTTCTTTAAAGGCCGTTGGTAGTTTTTCTTCTCTCGTGGTCACTTGTATCAGTACTTTTAGACACGATCCTTTGACAATCGACAATTAAGTTTGTAGTTTCGAGGCGCTGATCCACAATAATTTTCGATTTCACGACTTTCGGCCCCTCCGCCCC